CAGACTAAAACAGCTTAAAAAGTATCGATAAAGCAGAGTTATATCCATAAAGCATTGACAAACCTTTTGCAACAAACCAAAGAATTCGTATTTATCTTCTTGATCTTGGAAATATTTTCCATATCAATTGTTGCAATATTACATCTCAGATATTACACGGATAGTAATTAATTCGACGCCCAAGTGAAATCTCAGTGGTTTGATCACAGCGATGCCGTGGGCATGTTGGTAAATTTTCATTCTAAAAACTTTTTGATATCTAATGACTATTCATTAATGAGTTTTTTTTCTTCTGGTCTATAAAAAATCTGGTCTCTCAGATACAACAATAATGTTGAGCGCTAAAAGAATTTCATGTATAGAAATTGCTACTTTGTGAGAAAACGATATATTAGAGTGGGAAATTCGAATACTTGAAAAGCAGATCCAGCAATCCCCTGCCACCCTAAATGCATTTTCTTTAATATTAGTTTTTATACAAGTATGTACAGTGTAAATGCGATACTGTACTGTTTAGCGATACATGTTTTGCATTCTACATACGCAAACTTCTAAATTATTCAGATGACATCTTGTAAATATTTATGAAGATTATGGCAAATTTTCAGAACAAACCTTTTCTCGTAATGATTTTCGTGTAGTAGATCCGCATACTACATATACATACCTTAAAGAGTTGAGAGGTTTTCAATTTTTACGAAAACAAAATATTGGAGCTTGAAACCTTTCTTTTTATTGGCTTGCGTTTCTCCATTATGACGTCATCGTGACTTTAGAATCGTGTTTTTGTTGTTGGTAACGGCTCATTTCTAGCGGACAACTAGAAGCGATCGGACGTGTTTCACGATAACTCGAAAACTTCTGCATTAGCTACTAACTGAACTGACTATCAAGTCAAGGAAATGCCTGAAAGTGAAAATAAGATGGTAAATCACACTTTATAGACTTTTTAGGAATTCCGATTAATTCAGTTCTTTCTAAAACAAGAAGTTTGTTCTGATTTAGAACGACTGAAAAGTCAAATGAAATGGTTTAAAGTTGGTGGGTCTGATTAATTTTTTAAATATCTCTAGGTATATTCGGATGAAGGTTATGTAGTAATGGCCTTTCCATACACAAATGAGAAAATATATAAATAAATAAATTAGGGGGGGAAAAAAACGGTGCAGCAAGAGTATAGCCTATTTCTTTTTCCTGTCAATGTCGGAAAAATCCGCCAAAGTATCCACTTTCAATATTCTTATTAAGTCATAATATACACACAAAATAAACATTGATCAACAGTCATTTTTAAAGTGTCAGTAAGTATTCGGACTTCTTTTTCAATAATTTCTCTTTTCCAAATGAACAAACATTCAGTATAGCAACCTATTTTTAGATCTTGATTTTTTATTGGTTGATTGGTTGATGACGTCGCTGTTGCTTAGCTCAATATAGTTACGTTATAATTACGCTTCATTCCTTGTTAGAAAGGCGAAGTAAGCAGATGTGCTTATCTTGCTCCTAACAAATTTTGGAAACAAGTGTTTTCTGAACAACCTAAACAGAAAAAGCGATGCATGAAATCATGGATAAGACGGTAAAGCATCGATTAACAATTTTAAATTTTAGGCAATGTTTGTATGTAGGCGTTCAGAAAGATAAACTGTTCCGTCAATCAAAACCTAAGATGTCTGTAGACATATTATTACGTTTAGCTGTAAACATTATATCAAGAATAAAGAGAATGTAAATTTATTTGAAAACTGGAATATGAGATTCCTATGACTCAAAATAAAATAAAATGAAGGGTGGGTTGGGGGTGTAATGCATATATACTGATTATACTAAAACTACTGAACACACTGTCAAAAATAATTTTGCTTTTAAAGACTTACTTTTTACATGTGCACTAAAAGTCGATGAACATGTTATTTATCAAATTATACACTTATATCGCTTATACGACTTCAACAATCCCTGTCTCCGTATTCATGTCCCAAAAGCTGCAGATCTGTAGCTCACTGATCTACATATGTAAGAAACTGGGATGGACGTCCATCTCATTTGTGTGTGTGTGTGTGTGTTTTGGTAGTATACATGTATTTGGGGAAAACATTTATGATTTAGCTTTGAAATGTAAATCACGTCCTCATGGAGTCAACTAAAAAGTGTATAGTGAGTATCCCATCTACCATCTTCAAATCGTCAGGGTTCCAGAGTCCACACGTCCAAGAGCCTTGATTTGGACTCGGGACCTCAGAAGTTGCGAGGATGTCCGTCCATCCATTTTTGGATCTTATTGTCATTATCTAAAATTTTTAAATACTAGAAATAATAGATTTAGATTTTGATATGCCGTTTTATATGAATGTTTATAAAGTTGCTGATTCTTAAAGTTCATAATTTCAGGATGCAAGCATTTTCACAGATCTTGAGCGCCAGATTTCTTCCTTTCTCAGGACTGAGAAGGAATACGTAAGTAATTCAGTAGGGTATGTGGGAGGTATGGTCAAAATTGACATCTATATTCTAGTCTGAAAACATCCCCCTTCGTCTATTAAATGTTTGTTCAAATTCTTAAAGTTTATTATCAGTTATTATGAAAATTTCTTTACAGTCAATCGTACTAGAATCTTTAGAATCGTTGACTACACAACCCACCGACCCTAAAGCCACCCCCGGGAAGGACTGTCCTCGGCACCCAAAGAAGCAATTCTGTGCTAGGTGGAACGCTGTAGAGGTAATGTGACATTTACTTATTTGTTTTATTAACTTCCCTTATTTAAAGCCTCATTCACATACCCTCATTTATTATTATGGGTGTAAATTTTACATGCTCTTGGTGTGTGTACACGTAATTATTGCGATGCGTTCACATGCATTCTCAAACTGTATGTAAATTAGTATTAAGTTGTCAATTTCAAAATATTTTGTAAATACTTGTTTGGGCTTTCTAGTTGCTCCTCGACTCAATATTTCTCCCATGTACAAAGAAGAACATTGCCATTTCTTGATTAAATGCTACTTAAAATAATAACTGTTCTTAATAATACAATAGAAGGTCAATGTTTACTCTACTGTTACATTAAAAGTTTAAATCTTAAGTTTAAACTTATCTATTACTATCTAGATAGTTTCTATAACTAATAGGTAAGTTTAAACTTTAGATTTAAACTATTATGAAAAAGATGCATTTTTTAACGAAATCGATGATGCTAAATTTTATAGACAATTTCAATATTTCTAGCCTTGTTTTAATTTTGCTATGCGTTGCATGTCTGGAAATACACCAGAAGTAAATTTACTCGTATGTAAAAGATAATTTGCACCTGGTCTGGTTTAATATGTAAATTTTGCATTAGGAGTAAAAATACATCATGTGCAAATCTTGATTACCCCTCGTTCATAGCACTAAAATACACCCAGGTGAAAATTTGCATATGCGTATAAAAATTTGCTCACCGCGTGTAAATAGGCATATGACTTGTTTTTCCGAGCTTACCGGAAAGGCACAAGGAGATGCGATTTTGTTAGATATAGATAAGTTTAAATTAAGATTTAAACTTTAAATAAATGTAATATACTTCTCTCATATGCTAGCACTATTCAAAGCTTAGAAAAAGTGACTAAATGTATTTAAACATAGATATTTTTTAATATTAGGACGTGAACACCAAGGCCGGGTCCAGAAAGGCGAAGTCGTCTGTTCTGGGGGTGAGTATGATAGAGATAGGAAATGTTGCCTCATTGACTCCCCTTTGTAAAGATGACTAGATTTGTGAAATTATTTTTCCTTGTCTTAGGAAAGGCACAGAAGATCTGGACCATACAAGACTTACAGTGTCAGGAATCCATCTGCTTCTACCGACTTGGTGAGCATCAGTTAATTGTAGGTTAATTATACCTTAGTTGAAGTACTAGTTATATTAGTACCCATATAGTTTGCAAGTATTAGGTATATGTAAATATGCCCGTGTTCTTGCGGAACTGAACGTCCATTTCAAGCCCGTAGCAACTGTTCAAAAAGCACAAGCAAAAAAAAAAAAAAACCTAATTACCCCTTCAAATCCTGGAATTCAACCCTTCAGCACCCTCCCCCCTCCAGCGTTCTACGGCCCTGCATTCTTTCCTGGCTGAACTATTTTTGTTCATCCTTGAGAAACTGAAAATATACATTTTAATTAAAAGCACCTAAAAAAGGATTAAATTGAACTTTCCTGATCGATATGTGTTATACAGTATGAGTTTCTTATATTTGAAGCAAGTCCTTAAAAGTTGAAGTTTTAGTTCCTAGTGTTAGATTTTTTATAAGCGAGATTTCCCTATCTCTGAGTCACTTATAAGCTGGTTTTACTGTAGATTTTCTGTAACAGTACCTCTCCTCTAACTTTTCACAGATTCCACAAAATAAATCTTTTCCAAAACTATTTGATTGAACGCAAATTTGAAAGTAGATTTAAGCCATTCAAGTTTATCAAAATCACAACTCCAGAAGTTGGGGGTTGCGGGGGGGGGGGGGGGGTCAAGGTGGTCAAACTTTTAGATAAAAAAAAATGCATAGTAAAAATAAACGTTTAAACTCTTCTCAAACATAAGAAAGCCACAATTACTTTAATAGCACTTTAGGCTAAATATTAAAAGAATGAATACCAGAACGAGGGTTGGGTCGCAATGGGGGAAGTGGGGGGGGGGTCAAGAATAAAACCACTTGGCTACCATGGGAAACACGAACACGCCTCCTTGAGTAGATATGTTCACATCATGGAAATGTGATGATCGAATTAGGTTTTTGATTTTTTATCACGTAATTACATTTAAACATCTTTTTTCTAGAAATATTAATGTTGAAATTGTTTATATGTTATTATCTTTATCTTTCGAATATTCGTTGCCATCCCTACTTTAGGGACATATGGGTCGCACATTAATGGTTTTTATATGTTATTATGGGCCCCACATTAATGGTTAAATCCATAGTTTTCATTTGGGCCAATGACTTATTTCTCATTTCAGACTAGTAATCAAGATTTCTCCAACCGTGAGGGGGTTGCTCCCAATCATGATGCCTCAGTCAAATACCAGAGACACGAGGACACGGATTCTGACCGAGAACCTAAGCCTGTCTGTGTGTCTGTATGTATTGTGCTCGTATTTATTTATTTATTTTTTTTACAATTAATTGAAGATTTGTTTGAAAGAAGGAACTCTAGGGATTTTTTTTTTGCAGAGCGAACTTGAGGGTTACACCCTAAAGTCTTATAATGTTTCTTGTGTTCTTCTTGGGTTTCTTATAGTCAACCTTTCTCGGTTCTTTTCAGTCCTTGACTCCGGCAGAAAGTACCCCTAAAGAAACCTCCGGGAAGGCCTTCCCTCGCCCTCGACACCTGAAGAAGGAGTTATGCCAAAGGTGGAAAGCTGTCGAGGTAGGATTTATATTTAGATTTGTTGTTTGATTAAGGTTCTTTAGAATATTTCACTCATACTGGCCCTCCAACTATTGCAGATGTAGATCAGTGCTATTGACACTTACAGGACATTGGTATATATTTTTAAAAACATAAATATTTTTTTTTATGTTAGGACGTGAACACCAAGAACGGATCAAGGAAAGCAAAGTCGTCTGTTCTGGGGGTGAGTACTAGCACGATAAAGAGAGAGGAAATGTTGCATCAGTGACCCCCTTTTGTGAGGATGTCTACATTTGTGAAATAATTATATTTCCTTAGGATGGTCACAAAAGAAGAGGACCGTATGAAGCCAGCAGTGTCAGAAAGAACCCTTTGGTCACTACTGACTTGGTGAGCATCAGTTAATTGCAGCTTAGTTATGATTAATTTTCAATCCAGTTTGTACTGTGCTTGTATCTTATAATTATTGCTCTAGATCTGAATAAATGATCGAATCAGAAACTCCAAGGAAAAGTGCAGCGGGATAGCAAAGATTTTCTTCATTTCAATTAAAACCAAATTTAAACTACTTCTTTAAAAAGCTCCCATTTGTTAAAATGAATTGTTCTATAATATTTAAACGAATCATGAAATATTTACATGTATTTGATTAGATTATAGTTATCACTGTCCATGTCTAAAACTTTAAAGAAAACATTAAAAATAGCTTTTTTTTTTTTTTTTTTTTTTTTTTTTTTTTTTTTATACAATATCATGGATGTTTCAATAATTGTTTGTAATTAATTTTTAATAAGATGTTTAATACAACTGAGATGATGATTTAAGATTTCTCACACATGAATGTTGACGTTATGGTAAAAAGAAGAAGACTTTTATAATTGATATTTTTTTTAAAGCACTCGACACAGAGAAAAGAAGAAACAAGTGGTTCACTCAACAGCCCCCCAAAACAGAAAGGATCAGAGACGGACGAAAAGACAAAGCCTGTCTGTGTGTCTGTGAGTAATCTCTTCTTTATGTCTTTTGACCGAAGTATGAAGTACTGCCCACTCGGCCTTAAACAATAAACAATCAATTTACCGTATGACTTTAAATTTTTGACTTTTATTTTTAAATAAAATCATACTAGAAAAAGAAATCGAACGACCTTTTCTATAAAGTATGTAATCACAAATTGCTTGTTTATATGTCTATATTGATTTCATTTATTTAATTTTCAGGACTATGATGAGATGAAGGGTACCAAAAGAAGCAGGCCGATTTCTCCATTTAGGCCAAACAAGAAGTGGAAGCCATCAAAGGATGTAAGTGTGGATCATATATTCATCATCTGCTTAAGATTTTTCCTTCTCTCTCTCTCTCTCTCTTGGCTTTTGGTTTAGTCTTTGTGAGGTGTGTTGTTTCGTTCAATTTTTGTTTCTATAAGAAAAGTTCAATTTTCATTTCAGTATTGCCGATATGAGAGGAAAGTGAAAAGATTGATCAGATGTTTTAGGAAATTCAGCATTGATGGGTAACCAGCGCTGCGTGTGATCTTGTGCATTTTTATGCTGTGACTGGGATTTTTGTTGTGTTTTTTTTTTTTTTCATTCTCCTTGGATATTTTCATTTTCTTCCATGTTTGTGGAAGGTGTATATTTCTGGATTAACCGGAAGAATTTCTGCATGTTATTTACTGACCATCTGTTTACATTTTATTTACTGAGATAATAGAGAGGTTAAGCAGATGACCGTGTACGTCTACGTGTACGTGTAGCTAGGGAAATCCCCTAATTTACTGTGATTTACGTCATCAGTTTTGCATAGCGCGTAAATATACAAGTTGTACACAACGTGTAGATTCATATGTACACGTAGGAAAGAACGTGTAGCTTCTTAAACTCAAATTATAGAATGTATATTTTTCAGGCGGTTTTTGTTGTGATGATGAGAGTTTATTACGTACATCTCTGTATCTTTTTTAATCAAAGTCATAGAATTATTTGATACAAATGGATTGTAAAGTGACTTGTTGAATTGAAGTTTTACACGTACCGCTACACGTACAGATTGTTAAACAGAACACGATGTTAATTACGTGTACTTGAAAAAAACACTTCTAAGTTTACACGTACACGTAGACGCACACGGTCAAATGCTTAACCTCTCTATTATTTTTTGTAAGATTTTTTTTGTTGTTTTTGTTAGTTATATATTTTCCTTTATCCATTGGCCTTTACACAAAGACTTTTCAAGCGAAATGATTGGTGCATTTATTTTATGTTGTTTTGTTGAATTAATGAAAATTGTTGCATCCTTTTATTTGAATGGTATTTATTGAAAGTTTTGGTTTATTTTTTTCTCTTGTTGTTTTTATTTTATCTGCTAGTTTATGTAATTTTTTTCGAGGTGATAAAGGCATTTATATTTTTTCCAAATGTGTATTTATATATTTTTTATTTTGGTGAAGTTTTTTTTTTTTTAAATCCTTTTTGGGCAAGTATATTTTTAGATTAGTTATAAGTAGATTTTATTTTTTAATAAAGTGCTTGAGAACTGTAAAGTCTGCGTCTCGTTGTTTGTTATTTTTAATATCAATAGGTTGTATACTTTAGTGGTACATGTACAGATGAATTTGTTAAAGATATTAGTGTATGACCATCATATACTTATTCTAGGACCGTAGGAACCGTAAAAGGGGATAGGCGCACCCCTTCTATATTTCTGCCAGTTTATACTTTACAATAGACAACGAAGATTCATGTAATACGGTTGCGCTGCTCAAAAATAACGTCTGATGGCCTTTTTTCTTCTTTTAGCTCGTCAAGAATTTCTGTATATTTACCCCCCCCCCCCCCCCATGAAATTGCTTCGTAAGGATCTCTAAGAAAAATTGTTATGAAACTGTATATCCATAGCAAATACTATCACCAGTCTTGCGTCACTAGCAAACAGTGCACACACCTATGCTTGCAAGACCAAATAGCCTAGGTCTACATACGTGTGATCAGAAATCTGTGCAGGTGATGTATATTCATAATATTTATGTTGAAAAATACTTTAATGTAATGCAGAGGTGAACAGTTTGGGTTTGGTCATGAAAAGGATACACAAAATACAACACAAATATTGCAGTATCATAAATGCTAGAGAAAATGCAAAATTAGATATTATATATCATTGAGAAAAATGAAAAATGCAAATGCAGCCGGAAGAATTAGGTTGTGTGGTGTAATGGCGTCTACAAGATAAGATTTCTGCCTGTGTAATGTGAAGATAAAGATCAGAGAACATACTCAAATATCCAGTGAAAATTTTCTATACAAATTATGAGCAGCGCCAACAGAGGTGGGATCAGCTGCCATGGAGGAGTAAGCATCTCCTGTCGACCGGTCACACCCGCCGTGTGTTTCTTGTCATGATCGGGTAAACAGGCAAATCCGTTCTGTGTGAAAATAATGGCCTTACAATTTGTATGAAAAAATCATGATCCCAGAGGTTAGGTTGGGGTCACCATGGGCAAACAAAGTTTTACACAGGAATATATTGGAAAAATCTTTAAAAGTCTTCTTTACAAGAACAACAAAGCCATGATTAATTATATTTATTTGGAAGCATCTTCAGGTAGTGTACATTCAAGTTTGTTCAAATCATGACCCCCCCCCCCCCCCCCCCCGAGATAGGGAGCGGCCACAATGGGTGATCAAAGTTTTATATGGGAATAAAAAGGATAAATCTTTAAAAATTTTCTTCTCAAGAACCACAAAACCATGATTAGTCATATTTATATGGAAACATCCTCAGGTAGTGTTGATTCAGATTTCTTCAAATCATGACCCCTGGGGATAGGGTGGGGCCACGATGAGCAATAAAACTTTTATATAGGAGTTTATAAGGAAATTCTTCTTCTCAAGAACAGTAAAGCCATATTAGTTATATGAAAGCATCCTCAGGTATGGCGTTGATCAAATTTATTCAAATCATGACCCCACGGGGTAGGTGAGGCCACAATGGGCAAAGTTTGACATTGGGATATATAGGAAAATCTTTAAAAAAAAACTTCTTCCCAAGAACAGTAAATCCGTGATTAGTCATATTAATCCAGAAGCATCCCAAGGTAGTGTAGGTCAAGTCTGTTCAAATCATGTTCCCCGGGGGAAGGGCGGAGCCACAATTAAAAAAAATCAATCATTTAGAAAAAAAAATCTTGAAAAATCTTCTAAAGCCATGATTAGTCAAAAAAAAATGTGAAAGCATACCCAGTTAGTGTAGATTCAAGTGTGAACAAATCATGCCCCGCTTTCCACTCGGGAGGGGGGGGGGGGGACTTGCAATCACATACATTTAATCTTTTCAATACTGAACTGAATTTTACTTTTTCCTATAGCCAATCTGCTCAGGTGAGCGATGTGGTCCATGAGCCTCTTGTTTTACAGATTTTTCCTACATGTACATATATATCCCCAGGTAAAACTTTGATACCCTACTTTGAACCCATCCTACCCTCGGGGTCTATGACTTTAAAAAAATGAATAAACTTGAATCTACACTACCCGAGGATACATGTTCATGTATATATTTAAGAAATGAATTGAATTTTTGAAGATTCATGAGGACATGAACTACGACGCTTCACGCCGGCATATTTCATGAAGCGCGTTAGCGCTTCATGATAAATATGCCGGCGTGAAGCGTTGTAGTTCATGTACCTCATGAATTTTCAAAAATTCAATTCATTTCTTATATTTACATTATTTTTCTGATGAGTTGCCACAATTTAACTGCCATTTTTAAAGCAAAACAGATTGCACTATAGTTTTGACGTCAAGTACGGTATTATGACGTAACAATAGAGATATTCATGCTCATCAATGGTAGTTCATGAGAAAATGAACATTTTTCTAATTTGCAAAGAATCTTAAGGAAAATATTTGGAAATGTAAATATATATTAAATAAATCATATCCCTGCTATTAAAAAGATGATTTTTAAACGATTTTTTCAATACATAATCACAAGTGAAAATTTGATTCTGTAAAGGAGAAAGGCCGAAAACTGTCCATTCTGTGAGAGAAAGAACTAATCGAGGGCCGTAGGCCCGAGATTAGTTCTTTCTCTCACAGAATGGACAGTTTTCAGCCTTTCTCCTACTTAAAACATGATTTCCTTTGTTCTGAAAATTAAATAAAAAATGTACAAAATGACAGGTAGCACACATACAATGACAAATTCATTGTTTACGGAATGGACAGTCACAGGTAAGCTAGGGATGCAGAGCAATTTGAATAGGCATTGTGTTTCCAGATGCAAATAACAAAAGGTCTTTGTCTTAAGAATGGACAGTTACAGGTGGATTTTGTGGGATACTAGTATTTATACAAGTATGTGATGCTTCAAAATCAGTTTACAGTTTGCGTTATAGAGGCATACATGTTTTCCTGTGATGGAGAAAGTATATGACAGAATCAAAACCTACTAAACCAAAATATGCACAAAATTAGTGATATTTGGATCTGGAAACAGAAAAGTAAGAGTAAAAGAAACATTAGCCAAATTTTGACCCCAAAATGAAGTTCGACAACAGATACAGATGATCAAATTCAAATCAAACCTGGAAATGTTTTATTTGAATTCTATTTTTGAGGATATATTAACTGCAGCAGTGTAATGGTGAGATGCAAATTGTGTTCAGTGTTGGATTAGCCATGAACCAATCTTCGACCTGAAATGTTTTTCAAATCACATCTGGAAATGTTTCATTTTTATTTATTTTCTACCGAAATATTAACTGCAGCAGTGTAGTGTTCATGGTGCAAACTGTTTTCTGGGTGGAGGATTTAATATTAGACGTACTTCTATCTGAAAATGAATTCTCCTCAAGGGAATGATTTTTCCGAAATTTAAATCAAATGTGAATTTGTGTCAATTGAATTCAAGTTTTTTGAAAATTAAGTTTTGAGTATTGAAATAATGTGCAACATTTGTGGATTTAAAAGAGTAAAATCGAGTGGATGCTGTGCAGACATTGTGTTCTGGATTAACTTTGATCTCCCCGTTCTTTTTGTTATTTAGATGTAAATTAAAAAGTATTTAATGTATTTGTTTTTGTTTCCCTCTTGAACACATTCCAAAGTTTACCTGTAACTCTCCATTCTGTTTGTTTTAACTGTCCATTCTTTTTGAAAAAACTGTCCATTCTTAAAAGAATGGACAGTTTTCCAAAAAGAATGGACACTTACAGGTAACTTAATGGATTGTTTGGGGAGTTAGCTCAACAATAAGCTATAGAATTGACAACATGAACAAAAGGTTT